CTGCCAGGTTTGTTTACTTTTGATCTCTTTTGGGAGAAAACAAACACAACCCCAGGCATTTAATCAATACAGTGGCTAAATTAATGAAAACTAAAGCATCAACAGACGCAGACATTCCCCAACAGCACAGCAGTAATGATTTTATGAACTTCTTTACTTCCAAGATTGATATTATTAAAGATAAAATTCTAACCATGCAGCTGTCAGCTACAGCATTACATCAGATGGTGCACTATAGATCCCGTGAGGAACATTTCAACTATAGGAGAGGATGAATTTTATAAATTTGTCAAATCATCGAAACCTACATCATGTATGAAATACCCTATTCAATCTAAGAAACTTAAAGAGGTGCTTTCAGCAGTCATAGATCCTCTCCTGAATATTATTAATTTGTCAATGTCATTAGGATATGTACCCAAAACCTTCAAACTGGCTCTTATTAGGTCTCTCATTAAAAAAAAAAACTGATGCTAGGGAATTAGTTAATTACAGACCGATCTCAATTCTCCCCTTTCTGTCAAAAATAATGGAAAAGGCAATATCCTCTCAGCTAGGTTCTTATTTTTATTTTTTTAGAGGGAAATGGTATCTGTTCCAGTCAGGATTTAGACCGTATCATAGTACTGAGGCTGCTCTCATCAGAGTTACAAATGACCTGCACTTATCATCTGATCATGGTTGTATTTCTCTGTTAGTGCTACTGAATCTTAGTGCTGCATTTGACACTATCGACCACAATACTCTTTATTTGAGTAGACTACAAAATTATGTTGGCATTAGTGCAATTGCATTGGCATGTTTCAAATCTTATTTATCTGACCGTCATCAATTTGTAGCAGTGAATGACGAGGTGTCATATAGATCACAAGTAGAGTATGAAGTACCACAAGGCTCAATACTAGGACCGCTGCTTTTCATGCTTTGCATGTTACCCTTGGGAGATATAATCAGGGAACATGGTATTAGCTTTGCTGATGATCTTTATTTCTTTGCGGTCCAATGAAACATATCAATTCACAAAACTAACAGAATGCAGAGTTGATATTTATATAAATATATATCAGCTATATAAATATATTTACACCTTTCAAGATGGCGCCACAAATGGCAGCCACGACGCTGAGCTCCGCAATTCTTCTGATGTTTTTTTGTCACTCTTCTTCTATAAGTTTTAACTTATAATAATGTTAATAACTCCTTAAAATTAAGCAACACATCCCAGACAATATTTTTCCGTTTTTTGATTATTTCGACGTCTTGTTGGACATTCTAGTCGGAGGTACAGCTGTGTTGTTCAAACACGCGTACAGATGCAGAAGAGGGAAACGCAACGGCACCCTGGTTAAGCTCCGCGCGTGGCTTTCAAACTGCGCTCCCAAGTATTCATCTCGCGAATGTCTGTTCCCTTCCTAACAAAACGGATGAACTTCTTCTCCTCACCCGCACCAACAAGGACTTTTCAAACTCTGCCGCACTGTGCTTCACTGAAACCTTTTCAAACTCTGCTGCACTGTGCTTCACTGAAACCTGGCTGAGTGAATCCATTCCGGATAACGCGCTTCATCTGCCGGGCTACCAGCTGTTCAGAGTGGATCGCATTGCGGAGTTAACAGGGAAAACGAGAGGATGCCTCCGGATGCGTGCGTGAGTGCTGCGATGCAACAGCTGGCCGAACAAATAACTGAAATGGAGCAAAGGTACCCAGACTCTATTTTAATAATTCTTGGAGATTTAAAAAAATCAAATCTCTCCCGTGAACTGCCAAAATACAAACTGTGTCCCTCCAGAGACAGTAATATATTGGATCACTGTTACACAGCAATAAAGGATGCATATCATTCTGTCGCACGAGCAGTTTTGGGGCTCTCAGATCACTGATTCGTTCATCTTATACCGACCTACAGGTAGAAACTGAAATCAGCTAAACCTGTTTTAACCCTTTAGGCGCCAGGGATTTTTGGAAAAATGCTGGATTTTGACATCAAGATTTCAAAAGCTTGTAAGCTTGTTTCAAAAGGGCTTAAAGATAGAGATCTACTGTAAATTAGAAAAATGTTGGGCATGACTGAAAGTTTATTTGGAGTGTAAATATACTCTTCTAATTTGCATATTATGATGTCATCGGGGAGGCCATCTTGAATTTCATAATAGTCAGGAAATAGTAGATATTGAATTGATGTTTGAACTTATTTGCATGTTTTT